CACTCAACCTAAACAAACCACTTTGTTTTGTTTATACTGTAACTATAGAAAAACCTAAAATATGAAGCATTTTCATCGTGGGTTATACAAGAATATAATTGATTATAACTAACTTTCGTTTTTAAGTATTAAACATACTATGAAAACTCACAACACGACGTATGAATACTAATGTGGTTCCCTTTCTGTTTTTAAATCAGAGCTAGATGTGTTTGATTTCTGCCTGTACCTCATGCTCACCTTCATGGCCTGCGTATCCCTGCTGCTGTACCTGGAGCAGTGCGCTTATATTTATAAAAATATGCCCTACCCCAAGAAGACCACCCTCATGTGGATAAGTGGTGCTGCACCAGTAAGCATTTTATTTTAATTTTTTTTTATATATTGTGCTATTTCTTATACCAATAGGTGAAACAAATCATTATTAACCTCATGTCCTAAAGTATGCCCATTAATGAATTGCTCTTTTTTTTTTTAGGTCATTGCCACAATGTCTTGTTTTGGGATGTGGATCCCGAAGGCAGTCATGATCACAGATATGACCTCTAACTGGTACGTTTCACCAGCTAAATTAGTACCCAGGGAAAAGTATTTTCTCACACCGTAAAGTTTTTTAACAGCGTAAATATGATATAGTAGGATATTTACAGAAGTCGTAGACTCTTACTTTAAACATATAAAATGATCAGTTGTCTGTTATCGCATCGCTCTGACCGGAAGCTAGTTCTCACTTTGTGAACTCAGATATCCTTTTTTGAATTGAAATCCACATCTTTCTTTACTATGTTTTAATCAATATCTTAATTAAAATAAACACCTTTCTGCCTTTAAAACTGCCCGGCAAACGTGCACCCCTGGTATGAATAAGCTAAAGAACATGGGAGGACGTTTTAACTACGTGTTGAATCAGTACACACACCCAGAATGCCTCATCACCAACCTGCACGTGCTCAACTTCAATAAAACGCAGGAACGTTTTATAGGCTTTTGCCACCTTCAGTAATAGCCTGCATTTTATGTGTTTTCTGATTTACGAGATTTAAGCACAGTACGTACAGTACAGCATGTGCTTCCTATTTGTACTCACTGTCAGAAAACAAGTTCTCTTCTTTGTAATCAATTAAAACAATTGGCATATGGCTTTCTTGCTGAAACCACTCAAGTCAAATTTATGAAATTGCAAAAGAAAAGTCCAGTACCTGAAGTGTTTTCTTTGTAAGAATCACTTCTCTTTATCTGTGTAGTTATTTTGCAGTCGTGGTGTATAAGGTCTTGGTTCTGATGATCGAGGAGTTGGGCGGCACCAATAATTTTCTGCAGAGATTTTCCACGGAGACCTTTCGGGTCAACACAGGCCCGTGCTGCTGCTGCTGCGTCTGTCTACCCCGCGTGCACATGTCACGGTATTTATACCCGCCTACACAAATACTACCATTCTGCCTTTAGCAATTGAAGCCTGTGGTCTTTTAATGTGTATATAGAGATTTTTAGGCAATTTAATCATGCTCTTATTTATATCCATTCATTCTCTCTATTGACTACACATTGTGAACATTTATAATGAGTATATTTCTTTGTATGGGATCATTCAGGCGATTGTTATTCTTCCTGAAGTTGGGAGCTCTTCAGTATGCAATCCTAAAGACGGTGCTCTCCATCCTCTCCATAGTCTTGTGGACAAACGGCAACTTTGATCTCTCTGATGTAAGGGTTTGATAAGTGTCACATCTCACTGCGCTGGATATTAAGTGAACTTGACATGAACAAAGCATTTGTTTTGCTTCTTTTTCAGTTAGAGATTACTGGTACAGCCATTTGGATTAACCCGTTCATTGGCATTCTCACTATCATCTCCCTTTGGCCTGTTGCCATCATCTTCATGAACGTTAACAGCCATCTACGCAGCATCAACTTGGTACCCAAGTATGCCATCTACCAAGTGAGTCAATACAACCAACACTTAAAGTACACTATTCTCAATTTTCTTTCCAGCAAAAGCCTTGGTGAAAAACAGTATATGCATCCTTATCAGGAAAGCAAAACAGAAAGTGAAACATCTAGGGTGTAATCTCTCTGTTGCAAATCTCTAGCCAGATGGTTGAGGTTAGACTCAAAAGATCATGACTTGAAGGTAACCCTTGGTTGATAACCCGTCTTTTTTACACTACAACACTCGGGTTCAGTAGTCTTACCTCTCGTATTATATTTGCCTGTGAGTATTTCCCTTTTCCCTGTGGTTTCTTCAGCAGCTCCCGGTGGGTAAAGGCCTTTACGGTTAGGATTGGCCTCGGATGGTAAGGTTAGGAGTAAGTCTCATGAGAGGTTTCACAGTTTTGCAAATCGGCGGTAACCATCAATACAAGTCTGTGTTATACCGACAGATCATCAAAGCTTAAATGTCAGGAGTCTCAATTTATAAAAACGAAAGCAGTACAAATTAGTGTCGAACAGAGTTTTCACACCAATCTCCTTGGCTTTATTTGCGTTTGTTTGGGGTCATAATACAAAACTTTTGCTAGAAAACTAGATATTGACATATGATGCACTGCATAGAGTATGTAACTAATCAAGTCTTGGTTTTCTCATCAGCTCATACTCGTACTGAGTCAGCTGCAGACATCAATCATTAACATCCTGGCATTGAATGGCACCATCGCCTGCGCCCCTCCCTTCTCTTCTCAAGCTCGTGGCTCCAGTAAGAAACCTCTCTGAAAGTCAGCTGCTCATGTGTGAAGTAAAATAATCCATCTGACACCCTGTTTATGTCTCTTTCCCTCTCTGTTGTGTAGTGCTAAGTCAGCAGATGATGATCATGGAGATGTTCATCCTCACTCTGATCAATCGGAGACTGTACCGTCGTACGTATGACGCACTTCCCTCAGAGGAGGCACATGACAACAACCACAACGCCCTGCAGACTGCCCTCGTGGAGCATGATGTCTAAAAAAGGAGACAGTGATGTAAGAGTGGAAGTCAACACTGCTCTTAACGATGTGTCAGATCCTCTAAATTAAGAGATAATCAAATATCCCAAACTTTAAAGTTATATAATATTATTTGAAGATAACTTGTTTACCTCATTCCGTGATAGAACAAAAACCATTAACTGTTGAAAGTTTAGTTTTTTCATTATTTTATGTATGTATAGTAAAAAAGGTGGACAAAAGGTTGGAGATGTAGGTTTATGAATATTTGTGTATGGGAGAACATCATTTTTACATTTGTCTAGTAAACTAGTGTGTGAGAAACATAAAGAGAGACTATCCAATAATGGTGACTTTGGTCAATGTGTGGATGCTGAAATGAGTCCTAAAATGATATTTGATGCTTTGTGTTTTTATTACTGAAGTGTACAGTAAATAAAGATGGATATGTTTTTGTCATGAAAGGGCCCAGGTTGAATGCATTGTACTGAGGATATATTTGATACAAAGGATCTATTTTCTCTTCTGTTCCCAGTGTATAGAGTAAAATGTTTTTGTCTTCACGCAATCTGGGAAAAACAGCCAGATTTCTTCAAAGATTGCTGACCCACTTACTCAGACCTACTTGAGACACAGACGGATGAGACAGCAGCTTTATTTTCAGACTCAGTGTACACCCAACATCCTTCTACAGCCAAACTGTGTTGTTTCATAAGCAACCACAAGAGGCCATGCTCGTCCAACCAAAAAAAAGTTGACTCACATGATTAATATTTATTATTTCTTTCAGTTCAGCCAGAACTAACAGGTTTAGTCAGTTACTTATTTTAGGAGGAATAATTCAAGTCATTAACGAATGTTTGTACCAAGCCCAACATCCAATAAACTGTCTAAAAACATCAAACAAACCGGATACCCTATGTCTTTTTAGGTATTTGCTTGCTATGTTCTTTGTTGCCTTCTTGCAAATCTTCCCAAACATTTGTATCACATCAATTAACTAAAAATGTGTAGGAAATAATTACTTGAGCACGTTTTTCATAAATCTCTTTTGAACTTTTACCAAATGCCTGTTCAAAAACACATTTAGACATAATATTATTGGCAAAACTAAACAATAAGAAAGATAACTAATATACAATGTAGTTGAATCAAATGTTATTTCCCTGAATCGTGTCATTTCACTTACATTTCATTAATAACTCTCAAATGTGTGATTGTCTTCAGGACCGCAGTTTACTCTGTTAAGGTTGTTAAAAGGTCACCCCACACAAGATTGATCACTTTTAATGATTGAATTAATTTTTTGTACAACCAAAACAACAGTATCCCTTCATTGGATGCATTGCATTGTGTTATATTTGTTATCTAATAGGTTTTAAACCATGCTTTTTGAAGTCATGTGCAGCATAAGGGACAAAGAGGAAAATATTGTCCACTTAAAGTTTAATAATTTCCCAAATTTAAATCGGATGAATGGGTGCCCTTATTATAAATATTTGTTATTAAACTATAAAACGGCATTGCTTTTTTATTTTTTGACCAGTTTTCAAAATAAAAGCAGAACTGTTCCAATAAAAGATGAATAGGCTGCATTTTTACATTACATTACATTTAGCTGACGCTTTTATCCAAAGCGACTTACAATAAGTACATTCGACCAGGAAGACACAACCTTGAAGAAAACAGAATCATATACAGTAAGTACATCAGGTTTCATAGAGCCAAACATTTCAAGTGCTACTCAACTGGCTTTAGATAAGCCAGTCCTTTATTAGTATAAAGGCATTTGAAGGTGCATTGCCTTAATCTGAATGAGATGTTCACATAAAGCCAGATCATTTCTAATTCAAAATGTGGCCCTATTAATGGAGCATTTGTCTTTGGTGTTATGTAAACAGAGTCATCAGACAGAGAGGAAGGGGAAGCTGCGTTCAGGGTGGGTTGATGACAGCCCCTGGCCCTGCATTGCTGACGAAAGCTGCTTAGCTCCTCAGTTGCTATGGCAACAAGGGAGAGCAGCCAGACAAAAACGAGGCAAAGGGGAGGGGCTTTCAAGGGAGAAATAGAGGAGAAAGGGCTGGATGGGAGAGACAGACAGAGGGAGGGATACAGACAACCGATATAGAAAAACACTGAGAGCAACGGAGGTAAAGCAAGCCTACAGAAGAGGAAAGATATAACGTCTGGACATCAATGCTCTCTCCACTGACTGGGGAATAATAACAGCAGGAAGTGACTATAGGATGGAGAACGGGGGAAACAGAGAGAAGATGGATGTACAAACGGAGAACATGGACCCCCCGCCTTGTGAATCCCAGGCGAGTGGAAAAATCAGAAAAGGATTCAAGCTGTTTGGTAAACGCAAGCCAGGGAACATCTTTTCTATTCGAAGCAAAGGGGATGGAAACAACAAGTCACCTGTTAACACGAGCAAAACCATAGATGGAGTATCGGAGAACGCTGCACCAGATTCAGAGCAGGAGCTGGACAAGGAAAGGGGACAGGAGCTGAGTCAAGGAGAGAGGGAGCCGTCAGAGGTGGAGCAGCTTGGAGAATATGGCGTTATGGCTGCTGCTCCATTTCGCGCCTCCATTTCTTCAACCAGTTCAGCCAAGTCCCTCAGCTTCCTGTCGTTGCTGAGGGGCGGCCGGAGAGGAGTAGGGGACCGTCGAGTCCAAACTGTGTCCCAGCCTGTGGGCAGGCAACGGCGAGGGCTGAAGGGTCTCTTTAACAATGTTACGTTCAGGTCAAAAGATAAAGAGGAGAAGGAGGAAGCACCTCCGAGCCCACTTCTCATGTTGTCCCGCGCCAACAGTGTGGAAATCATCAAAGAGGATATGACCCTCACCCCACAATGCCAGCCGCGCTTTCTGAAGAGCCGAAAGACTGAGAGCTGGGAGGCGAGCAGTTTAACAACACAGGACAGTGCAGACACGTCCCCATCAGAGACCACAGCTCCTCAGGCGACAGCGGGAAATGTGAGTAGAACTAACGAGCATGTGCCAACTTTACCCACTTCTGACCCACCCTTGGTACCCGGTGATAACAGCCTCAGCTGCCTGCTTGCAGACATCTCCTCTCTCCTGACCTTTGACTCAATATCAGGGGGTGGAGACATGATGGCTGATGTGGAGGCAGAGTGGGGAAGAGCCAGCAGTCCCATCACTGCCGCTTGGACCGAAGTCACGCCATCGTCCACATCTATCTTCTCCAAACCCACCATGTCACGACCACTGACCTCCGTTAGCACTGCTGCTACGGCAAAACCCTCTCCCGTAGCCGTCCCCACAACAGCCTCCGCCCAATCCTACACCCAATCCTACACCCCTGGGACAAAGACAGCTACAAGAGCTACGACCTCTTCTCCCGTTTCCAGGCCGAGCTCAATCATCACGACGTTGACCAAAGCTTCCACTTTGACAACTAACTCAGTCACATTAAACTCGGACTCTACTCCAGCCTCTGCCACTTATGCTAGCATTAAAATTACATCAACTCCAATCGCAACTAAATCCTCAACTCCCCCTGTAACATTGACAAGCTTTTCGGCTCCTAAAATATCTCAACCTTCAGCGGCAATTAAATCCACACTGAGCACCACCTCTAATTCTACAACAGCTCCCCCGAACACCCCGGCTGCCGTAGCCAAGGCTCCCCCAATCGGTCCAAATCTTACTTTCAAGGCGAGCAAATTCGCATCTATTACACCTCCTCCTCAAACTATTGCTTCAGTAAGTACACCTTTGACTGTAGCTACTCCAACCCCTGCATCAGCTAAAGCTCCCCCAGTAACCCATAGCCCTCCCACCCCTGTTGTTTTTACCCAACCTCCACCTGCTAAATTTGATACAGTTAGTAGTTTGAACCTGAAAACTTCCACTTCCTACAAACCTTCCCTCAGTTCAGCTGCAGGAGAACCTAAAGCCCCAGTGATAATCTCACCAGTTTGTGCTGTTACTCCCAAACCCGAACTGGTTATGCCCCCCAAGGTGACAACGGTTCCCACATCAACTACGACCCCCGGCTTGGTATCTGCACCCATTTCCAAGCCTACTCTCAACTGTAGCCCACTGGATTTAAATAAGGCCCCTCCTTCCCTTGCAAAAGTTCCAGATATCCTTCCTTCCTCTAACCTGACTGCTGTTACTAAAACCCAAGCCAGCCCTGTGTCTGTCCCAACTCCATCATCAACTTCTTTAGATAAGATTCCTCCCCTGACTAAACCCCCTTATGCACCAGTCTCTTTAGATAAGATGGCCCCTGCTCCAACTCCAACCCCAACCCCTGCTCCTCATGCTGTTTTTACAGCCTCTCCAGCACCTCCTCCTCCAGTTCAGATCGCAGTCCCTCAACCTAAAGCCCCACCTGCTCCTGCTCAAATCCCAATTTCCGCACCTAAAGATTCACCTACTCCTACTGCAATGCAAGTTTCTCAATCTAAATACCCTCCTGCTCCTGCTGAAACCCCAGTTTCTGTATCAAAACCCCCTCCTGCCCCTGCTCGGATCCCAGTTGATGTATCTACTGAACGTTCTGCCCCTGTACAAACCCCAGTTTCAGTATCAAAACCCCCTCCTGCCCCTGCTCGGATCCCAGTTGATGTATCTACTGAACGTTCTGCCCCTGTACAAACCCCAGTTTCAGTATCAAAACCCCCTCCTGCCCCTGCTCGGATCCCAGTTGATGTATCTACTGAACGTTCTGCCCCTGTACAAACCCCAGTTTCAGTATCAAAACCCCCTCCTGCCCCTGCTCGGATCCCAGTTGATGTATCTACTGAACGTTCTGCCCCTGTACAAACCCCAGTTTCAGTATCAAAACCCCCTCCTGCCCCTGCTCGGATCCCAGTTGATCTATCTGCTGAACGTTCTGCCCCTGTACAAACCCCAGTTTCAGTATCAAAACCCCCTCCTGCCCCTGCTCGGATCCCAGTTGATGTATCTACTGAACGTTCTGCCCCTGTACAAACCCCAGTTTCTGTATCTAAACCCCCTCCTGCCCCTGCTCGGATCCCAGTTGATCTACCTGCTGAACGTTCTGCCCCTGTACAAATCCCAGTTTCTGTATCTAAACCCCCTCCTGCCCCTGCTCAGACCCGAGTTGATGTATCTACTGAACCTTCTGCCCCTGTACAAATCCCAGTTTCTGTATTAAAACCCCATTCTGCTCAGATCCCAGTTTCTCAACCCAAACCCCCTCCTGCACCAACCCTTGCCCATAGCCCTGTCACTTCTCCTTCTTCGACCCCTGGTGAGGCCCCAGCTTCTGCTAAGATGCTAGCAAGTGGACGGGCATCAGTCGATGGTGGACTGACTAGTCCAAGTAGCACAGGTCCTCAGACCATGCTGTCAAAAACAGAAGAACTCCAGGGCCAGCCCAGGGAAAGGAGGATACCTCAACCAAAGGCATCAGGATTGAGTAAAATCCCTGTTGTTGGAGGGGGCAGAGCAGGCAGGATACCTGTCCGGGACAGTCAACACGATGATGAGGAAGCAAGTAGGGACCCACCTACTCCTGTTCTCGAAAAAGAGAGGCCTCATTTCAACTCACATGATGCCGGGATCAAAGATAAGATCTGTAATGTTGAGGCTAATGTGCCCACCTCAAAAAACACACAGGAGGAGAGTCAACAGCTTCCCCAACCGAAGGTCCTCACCAGTTTACCGCGTGACTCAAAGATCCCTGTGAAACATGGCGCTCCGCCTCACGCTGCCTCACAAATCCCTCAGGCGAAAGAACCCTATCGTACCAAGATACCCGTGTCCAAGGTTCCTGTCCGCAGGGCCGGTAATAAACCTGCAGCTGCATGTGGAAGCACCCAGATAAGAAAATAAAACAATGGACTGCATCAATCAACGATACAGATTATGGCTTTGACTGCGACTTTTCTCCTCTATATAACTACACAACCTGACTTTTTTTCAGTTTTCTAGACAGTGATTCTTGGCTTCACTGCGATAGTACCAGAGTCAAGAGGCTGACAGCACTCAAGCACAAAATATCTCCACAAGGAGCCGAAGCAACAATCCTGGCTCTTTGGTGCTGAGCCAACTGGACACGCTCTCAGGAAAGGTTCAGGGTCACACCTGGACACACAGCAGCATCGTTGACTAAGGATAAGCAAGATGAAAAGGACTTCTGGGAACATAGACAAACACATACACAACATGGGCGAGTGCCTTTTTATAAGGGTGCTTTTCCGACTCAGAATTAATATTTTCTACAATGCTTTTAACTTTTGTTACTCCCACCTTTTGTAGAAACCGTCAACTCTTTGTCTTTCTTTCCAGCAAATCTCTTTGATAATAACCAGTCCCTTTATTTATGTCAGAAGAAGAACAGCAAGAGCTCTATAAAGTAATGCAACGACCAAATTTACATTCCACACCAATCTCTGGATGTATGTAGCATAAAAACGTGCCATTAATCTTTGCACATGATGTTGAAATGTACATCGCCTGTGTCGACTGCTCATATGTAACATGATCAGATCTCACTGTGAACTATGGGACGGACTGGTTTTGAGGGAGAATTGGAACTAACCTTCCTCCCAGTGAAGTGGACAGTGGACAGCAGCTATTATGAATGGCACTGTGGACATTTGAGTGAAACAGAGAGGATGCTGAGATGAGATCTCACTGGCACTGCTCCTTATCCCACTTATACTCGGATGAGATCAATATCTCTGTCTATAGTCTCATCTATGTTGTTCTGTTTCCTATTTAATCAATAAAACAATATGAATATACTTCGCAAGATGAGATCTGTTTAAGTTGTGGATTTTATCCGGCATGTTTAATATTGTGTACGTTTGCAGAAATGTGGTACATAGTAAATGATTTATCAGCTGTGTTTTAAGAAGGATTAGAAATGTTGTGATCCTTATATGTGGAAGGAAGTGAAGAAGAGTAGGATCATAGTAAAGAGATCTGATACACATTTGACATTTTCACGAATGGCTCACCATCTTACTACAGCCTGGGCTCATAGAAACATCATTACAACATCATCCACACTGAAAGCTCACTGACCTGAAAAGCGAGCACATGAATGTCAGTAGAGCCCGGCCAATCAGCTGCAAGGGAAACCGCTTAACATGCATACCTTATTATCAGGAAAAGGGTTCGGGAATGTGTGTCATTGCTATTTTTAGTGCGAAATGCACCCAATGAATGTGCTGCATAATGCCTGAGTGGATAATTTGATTTGGTCATTTAGTACCAGTCAGTTAGTCATTGAATAGTAGAAGAAAAGCTTGGTTATTTGAACAGGAAAGGCTGTCAAAAAAAAGGGCCTTCTTAATTTTGCACAAGAAATTTAGGAAAAACATGTTGAAAAGCAAAAGTGCTACTATTGGTGAGAGTAAAACCTCAGGTTAAAGATGGGAAGTTGATTTGAGTCATGGGGTAATGTTTAGAGGCATCTGGTGTTAGGAATAAGGCGTAAGGGTGCATTTCTTACCAAAAAAATGTGGAGGTGACACAAAAAGACCTCTGTGTACTTCAGCAAGCCAGAGGCTGCAAGCTGAGAAGAGAGGACCATCCTGTGGCCTAGACAAACACGAGGATTTCACTACATCAGGTGCTGATACTGGTCACAGATGGTAAACCTTCTCCTGAGAAAAGAACAGTTTCCCCCTGAGGCTCTGACACTACAAAGGTTTGCCTTTTTTGTAACTGCGATTAGGAATTAAAAAAAGGGTTTTAACAGCATGTAGATTTACAATCAGGCTTGTTATGAGGGCTCACATTGTGACAGTGTGATAATTAACAGCATGCTCTTCATTACAGAAAAACTGCCTATGAATATGTTTTGTGAAGAAATCTGAAACAAGCAGTGAATGCTGCCTTTTGTCCACCTCTATTCACATGATTTCCCAGTATTTACTCTTTCATGCTTATAAGTGATAGTGACAACAGCCTTGAGGTAGATTCAACCAGCATAAGCTTTGTCTGTATATAGGTTGTTTGTGTATAATGCCCCATTGCCCTAAATATGTAACACAAACACCCATAATGCACTGAGGCCACTATGACTTTCTATGGTCTGCATGTGTTTGTGTCTTCCGCCTCTGGAGAGACGATGTGCCTCTTTAGAACCTAATTTAGCATGCTTCATTCTGTGTTTCCAAGGCAACCCCACTAGGTCAGCCAATGAAAGGCTGCGGGTGTCAAGAGGAGGAGTTTAAAACATGAGTGCCTTAATGAGCACACTCACAGTATACATGCTAATAAAACCCGTTTTACACCATATACCATTTTTTATTATTATACTGAATTATAACAATTAAGATGTTAATAGTTCACTGTAATGTTCACTTATTGTAAGTCGCTTTGGATAAAAGCGTCACCTAAATGCAATGTAATGTTGAGACACATTATACAATGATTATTAATTAACTTCCAAACGTTGCTGGTTGTGCATTGACCTGAGCTAAACCAGACACACAGTGAACTTCTTGGATGCTAAAGATAACATTCATAGAACATTTTATTTTTTAAGTTTCCAAGACATTTTAGAAATGATTCAGATATGCTGGAAGGTAATGAATTAGCAAAAAATGTCATGGTGATATTGCCTGTTATCGCGGCTATTATTAAACAAATGAAAGGTCCTATAAAAGGTTTAAGGATCTGGTTGAGCTTCACTACAGGGGCATTGTTCAGATCTATAAAATAAGGCCATAGATTACCTTGATGATACACTACTTAACAGCGTGAAAATAGTAACATGGGACTCAATATCCATGGGATAACACATCGTCTTACCATGTTGAGATTTAAAAAGCTTATTTTCCATACTCCAAAATACACTTTATCAAAGCAAGAGCCAATTTATCCCTCACTGTTAAACATGTTTGAAAACAATATCAAACCTTGTAATGTTCATATTCATATCATTGCACAAATATGGTTAATAATCAAAATTATTTATTCTTGTTCATATTGAAATATAAAAAACGGTACCATGGGCTTGACAAAAATTACCATTGTTTATATAAAATTATCAAATAGTATATTTATTAAAAACATATATAAATGCAATAAACTGTCTCGTTTCAGGGTCATACATCGGACGACAGATAGCAGATGAGATAACATTACAGATACTACTCTTCACTGAGAAAAGGCAACAACACATCTGCTTCATCGTCAGCCTCATCTGCACTCTGCAGTGTGAACACCAACAGGGTGTCACATGCTATTAAAAGCTCTCTTTCATTATCAAATGGAGTCAGTCCGTTGCAAATTGTCAAAGAATAGAGATCAAACATATGGCTTTTTATAAAACACTCAAAACAACATTTTTGAAATAGTTATTAAAACATTCATGCGTGTTCAAGATCCTGAACATGATGATTTCTAATTCGCTTACAAAAAGCAAATATTAAGCTGGATATGCATGTGCTTATAGACGCACATATTTGATAAGCATTCAGGAATATGGATGACTATGAAGTACGGCCCTGCCAGCCAGGGCATTACGTCATTTAAGTGCAATAATAACTCTGCACTGAGGACCTCTGCTGGTGAAAATACTGAATTATATTCTTGAGAATAACATGGGTGACGCAGTACAAACAGCATCCCTACTGAACAACATGGCTTCATCATATCAGGCCTGCAGCCTCTACTATAGATAGAGGGAGCTAGCTGCACCATGATAGGCATGAACACAGAACCAATGTGATCTATGCAGATATCTACTGTTATAAGTAGACTATTTGCCAACATTTACTAATAATTAATTACAAAAAGTGCCTGTAATTTTCACTCATTCATTAGTATGCAAATATGAGTCGTAAAACCAAATTAGGACTCATTGGAAAGAAAGTGAAGCAAAGAGACATGTAAGGAATACTGATGGTGGACATTCAGCCCTACTTTAAATAAGCAGTCAAGACCATCTTATGCTTGGCATCTGGCAGCAGCAGTACCATGCTCGAGTTAGAAATATGAAATAATACTCGCACTAATTACATTGAATATTGTGAACAATATAGTAATATTAAATCTGAGTTGAAATAAAAATGTGCATTTTTGCAAACACTGATACAGATAGAAAAGGTTGTGAAGAGCCTGGCGTCCAACCAGAAGGAGAAAGGAATGAAGAAAAAGAAGGCAAAGAAACAAAAAGGTACAATTTAAACTCTGCTTTTAACATTCCAGACACTTAGTTTGGGAAATACTAGATTATTGGAAGCTGTTTCGCAGACAGGCATCTGTTATAGACAACAGTATGTACCGCAGTTAGTATGTACCGCAGTTAGGAAGTGAAGAAGAAGTTGTGTTTAGATGCTTCCCTGATCAAGTTTGGACTGAAATAGGGCAAACATAACATTGAGAGCATGAGACAAGCAGAGATTTTGAGGAATGATAAAGTTGGAAAATGTTATTAGTAAAATGGTGCAAGATTTAGTGACGCTTTGGCCTCATGCTACATCAAACAACAACAAAAATGTCTAAATAGCTTAATTATGAAACCTGTATATCAATTATAAAGCATAGGCTGTAGGTTACAATGAATACAAGTGTAAACAGAAGTTGTTGTTTTTTTGACCTGATGAACATCAATCTCACTCGCTTTTCCCAGTATGCTGACACACTGTTTACAGAGGAAATGTAGTGCCGTGAACATTTGTTGTGATCTGTTACACCATGAAATGCATGTGTCCTTCAGCACCCGTAACCATGACATCCATCCAGATACGCATGGCCTCAGGTGACGGGGCCACCATATAGTACACCCGATCATGGGTCTTCAGGCAGAACGTCAGCGAAGGGTTGGGGCTCTTGGGTGTGGAAGTGAATGTAATGTTGAGAAAAAAGTGAAGGAAGAATAGGAGGGTAGAGGGGTGAGGTGACGCATGTGTGGGGAAAAAACAAATGGAGGGAGAGAAGCAGAGGATAAACAGATGTCAACATTGTTGAAATAAAATGAGGCATGTGTAGAATAAGCCACAGACGTGTACACACTTACTTTGTGTGCGTTCTTCAAATGGTCGTAGTACACCTCCTCTATGGCTTGAAAGTAAATGACTCCTTTTATCTTGGTCTCATGTTTGTCTGCAAGCGGAGGAATATAAACACAACGGAGATCAAAGCTCGGCCGTAAGAGTATCCTTGCATAGCTTAAGGGTGACATCACTGTTGCAGTTTCACATCTTAAACTTTGAGTTAAGTTAAAGGGCCTCAATTGTGCACATTTTCAGGTTTATATATTTGTATGTAGTGTCTCTACTGTGACATGTTTACATGCTTTAATGTTCAAAAAGCTCATGCTGCCTGTGCTGCAGCACCTCTTTTCACCCTCTGTCTGAAACCAGAGCCTGTCTGCTCTGATTGGTTAGCTGGCCTGCACTGTTGTGATTGGTCAACTGCTTAGAGATGTCCCGCCCCACGTACAATGTGTTGGAGCGCTAGCCAATAAAAGTGTGTGAGTTATATACTGATTTATCCCTATTTTACAGTGGTAGGGGGGGTGTGGGAGAGAAACTCCTTCTGGAGGGAACTTGGGGATTTTAGCTTTTGAGAGCATTTACATGCACACCATTCTCTATGACACACTACAAGGGAAACCCCAAAATGAGGGTAACTCACCTGAATAGTATGTGAGAGTCCTGCGATTCTGGTCGAAAACAAACCAGCGTTTCTTCCAGGTCTTGATCTTGCCGCCCATTTTAACCAGGAAGCCTCGGCAGGTTTTATCAGTGATGGCCAGATGGAAGCAGGCGTCTGGGTTGTGTCCAGCTGCCTCAATG